CACCCACCAGTTCTTGACCCTGTTGGTCCGATCCTCCTTCAATCGCAGCCGCTCATATTCTTTCTCGTAATCTTTCCGCAGGCGTGAGTCGAGCAAGAGGTGCTTGTCCAATATTTCCGTCATGTCTTTGCGCATCTGCTCCAGCGCAGCCCCAAGCTCCTCCACATTGAGCTCAATGCCTCGACAGACAATGGTGCGCAGCGTCTCGTCCGTCACGTCGCCATCGGCTCGGATATCGACGTCGACTCCAGCCTGCCCCTCGGCCATGCTCGCTGTTCGTGCCATGCTCATGCGCTGGCTTAAGAAGTGCACCAATCGCCCGGGCTGCATATACGGCCTGAGCTCGTTGGCCACTGACCACGACTCATTCTTGCCACGGCGAAGCAGAAACAATTTGAATACGTACAGCAGTCCAGCGGGCGTTGTGGTCCACTGCCTGATGTCTTGCAGGATGCCGCTTCCTTTGGACACGGCCGTGCACAATAGGAAGACGTTGACAAAGTGCACCTTGTCGTTGTCAAAGAGGCTCAGCTCCACCTCCACCAGGGCCAGCCACAGGGACGTCAGGGGCTCGACCAGCTCTTTCTTGGTCATTCCAGCGTCCAGGCCCGCACTCAGAGCCGCGGTGGCATTGATTACCGCAGAGCCACGGCTGGCAAGCACCTGGCCCAGAAAGCTGGACGGATCGGGGGCTGGCATGGCCTCCAGCAGCAGCAAAAATTGGACCAGGCGTGTCCCAAGACTCAGGTACCTGCTGACGGTTTGCGGCTGTACTTGTCGCATGGGACGATGCTGATACTGCCCTTCATTGTCGTCAAACAGACGCGTCACCGCAGCGGCGGCCAGGCCCTGATCCGAGAGCTGCTCGTAGGCCGACCAGAACAGCTCGTGCATGCCCGACTCGAGGAGTGCCGACGGTGTGTTGTGGCCCAGTTCGACCATGCGCTCTGGCTTCAGCTCGTTAATGACCAGCGTCATGTCCACGCTGTCGTAGAACGGATGCATCTGGTGAACGCCGTGCGGGCAGCGCTTCTCCTTGGCCTCTGACGCCATGGCCTGAGTGCTGGAGATCAGCTGCTTGAACCGCTGCTGCTCCTCCAGCTCTTCCTCGTTTTCGCTGACGTCGGCTGCCGAGGCATCGTGGCCTTCTTCGACAATGACCTCGACACAGCGGGCCCCAGCACCACGCAGCGGCTTTTGCAGCTTGACTCGTCGAGGCAGCTGCTTGGCCTCTGGTTCGTCGGGATGCTCGGCTACGATGTGATTCCACAGACTGCCTTTTGTCGTGAAGCATGCCTGACACAGGGGGCAACCCACACCGTCCAGAATGGGTATGCCTTCAATAGGCATACGAGGCTCCGATTCTGCCCCAAGGTCGATCGGCGGCTCCTCGGGCTGCAGCGGGCGCAGGAGTGCCATGGCTGCATCAATATCTTCTTGGCTGCACCGCACATGGTGCTTTTTGAACAGATGATGCGTCACCCTGCCTCTCAGGACATGGCCGCACTGCGTGCACACTGGAGACTCAAAGACGGGGGATACAAGGCACCCAATCTCGTCCATGAAAATTCGCGCCGCGGCAATGCCGTGCTGTTCATCAAGCTTGACCACACGTTTTTTCGTGCGCATCCGAGCAGGTTTTTGACGATTAGGAGGGCCGGTGCCGGTCGTAACAGCGGGCTCATTATGTACTGCGGGGCGATTGCTAGTCGGACCCTGCAATGCTGTTGATGGCATCTGTCTCGGCATCTTTTTCTCATGCAGATGCCGCAGGTGTGATTTCAGAGTCCCTGAGCGTTCATGGCGGTAGTGGCAACCTTCCACTGGGCTATGAAAGTGGCCGTCATCCTCTCGGTACCTGACCAGCGATTTTCCATGCAGCGTGATTTACGTGCTCTTTTGATGCACCTATGTGTTCAGATATGATAAGATTTTTTTTTTTTTTTTTTTTTTTTTTTTTTTTTTTTTGAGAGGGGAAATCAGCCAGTCAGGAAGATCGACGATCCAACGTACCTGAGCAACATGCTGATCTCTCGCAATACGACTGGAAAAGATCAAGTTGCATCGCGAGCATGAGGATTCTCGTGCCCTTGGCATGCTTGAGTGGTGCAGTGTGCGTTGGAGTAGCTCGTGGCTCTTGTGAGAGAATGAAGCGGCGAAGAAAGTAAAATTTCATCACATCTGAGAACGGACAGTTGTTGATATGCAAATGGGAATCGGCATGTAGTTTTGGCTGACATGATGAATGCAGGTAAAAGACATCCAAAGTTGTTGAATGGCGTTAGAGTCGAGGAACAGCCACGTGATCGCGCTCATCACGCTCGCCGGCCAGTTGGGCATGGCAGAGATGTTGGTCGGACGAGTGCAAGGCGCGCTCACAATGACTGTGCTTCATGTTCTTCTTCTTTTTTTTTTTTTTTTTTTTTTTTTTGCGCTGGCTCTTGGTTTCTGCTCCTCGGGCAAGCCGCAGTGTCGTGGCATCATCATCATCAGCATGAGCCGTTCAGGCAATCATTCGAGCACTCTGTCGACGCCCGCCGGTCTCTCAGAATCCTGAGTTTGATCACTGCTTCCAGCACACGGTTGCGGTGCGCCTTGATGCCTCAACAGTCGTCGAGGCATTGATTGTCAATGGCTGCCTTTGTGTTGATCCCTTCTCATCAAATTGCTTCTTGATTCAGCAGCACAAACGCAAGCCGGTCGGTTACCAGCACTGTGTGGCGATTTTCATGCATGGTAATCTCCCAGCGCGTCTGCGCAACGCAGATGCAAGCCTTGCCTCAAAGGCTTGCTGTGATGCAGGCCACAATCAGCCCATGCCTCCACTGATCCTGCCCTTGTCACAAGACGTTACACGACCACATGTTCGGTGCGCAGCCAACAAGCGCCCGAGCTTCACTGTGATCGAGCTGGATGCAGCCATAGAAGTTGCGTGCCTTCCTACCTGCATGCTGGCTTTGACATCCAGCGCCCCCAATGAAGGCTCAAAATGCCACTCCCTTGGTCTACAGGACCGTACTTATATCTCGATGGCAGCAACGACGACAATGTTCGACTTACTTCCTCGCCCTGAAGGATAATCGAGCATCATCGCCGGGACTGGCGATTTCCAGTGATACAGTAGCTTCTGGACATGCGTCTAAGCTTGCAGTCCAATACATGATGATGGTGCTTCTTGTGCTTCTTGTTTTTTTTTGTGCTCGCAGTTACTCCGCTTACCCTCCGGCGAGCCGCCCACATCACCAGCTCGCGCAGCGCTGCAGCCGCCAATATTGAGACACCATGGTCATCAGTCGATGTCATGGCGAATGAAGGCAGGGCTGTTTTTCGCTCTTTTTCGGTGGTTGTTGGACTGTTCTGCTTTAGACGTTCAGCAAAGCCCGCC